ATGCAACTTGAAAACATCATTTGATAAATAAATATGGCTGGAAAATCAATCCTGATTGTTATTATCTCTCATTGATGTTAAATAGTCAAATTCAAATTCTTTATCTTGTAAATATCCATTCTTTTTATTTATTCATTCACAAATACCATATTGAAAAATCATTGTTATTTCTCCCTTTACCACCACAATATTAATGTTTTATTACACCAAAAATTAACATTACACTAGTGCCAAATTTAGATCCTTGTTTGAACTATATAGTAATAGTATAAATTTTTAAAAATAACGCGATAAATAATGAACGTGATAAATAATATATTATTAAACATAACAAAACATGATAAAACAATCAAACAATGTATGGTAATTGTAAAAATAAAAATAAAAAGATGATAAAATTTATGATATAAGAAATTTTTTCTGATGTAATATGTATGACATCAGTTTTTTGATGATTTGTAGTATTAAACTGGAAATGTAATCATGACCAAACAAATCAAATCAGCCTAAGATTAAATAAATAAATTTAATAAAACATGACTAGGAAACTTCCTCTGATGTAATATATATATGATGTCAGTTTTCCAATGAATGTCTTCACAACTACAACTACAACCAAACAGATTGGTAGAATTGTAATAAAACGTCATCAGAAAATTTTTTCTGATGTAATATGAGCGTCAGAAATAAAAATGATTTGTAATAGTAAAAAATAAATTACTTATATAAAGAGATGTAGTCCCATCGTTTCTAATAATAATAAAATAAAAATATTTGATATTTTTAATAAAATTGAAAAAATGTCTTCACAATCAAGCAGAGAAGAAAATCCAAATCAATTTCCTAAAGTAATTAGATTGATTAATTATTTTGTTAAAATAAATTAATTGAATTAATTAAATGTTTTTTTAAAATCATATAGAAAAGAAAAATATTGACTAAAGTACAAAAAAAAGAACTGTGTGAAAAAAAAAAGCTAACCCGAATATTAAAGGTGTTGAATTGGCCCAAGGATATGGAATATCTGTACAATCTGTTTCTGATATATTGAGACAATCTTCCCAATGGTTAAATTATGATGAAAGTTCAAGTCATAATTTATATAGAAATAAAAAATCTGATTACCCTGATATTGAAGAAGCAACAAGAATCTGGATTGATCAACTTTTGGCTAGAAATTTAACATTAAGTGGACCTATTATCCAACAAAAAGCAAAAGAATTTGCACGTCTTTTTGAAATTGATAATTTCAATGCATCTTTGGGGTGGTTAAGCAATTTTAAAAACAGAAATAATTTGCATAGTTACAAAAAAAGAGGTGAATCAGAGTGCTCCTATCAATGAGATTGCTGACATGCAAAACCAACTTCAAGAAGTCCTACGAGAGTATAATCCAGAAGACATATGGAATTGTGATGAAACTGCCTTATACTGGAGGCTAGAGCCGAATAGAACAATTTCCCATGCACCAACTTTAGGAAAAAACGCCCTAAAGATCGTATAACTGCTATGCTTACTTGCAGTTTGACTGGAGAAAAGCTTCCTGTGCTTTTTATTTATAAATTCAAAATCCGAGACCTTTGAAAGGCATTGCTAAAAATACACTTCCAGTATGGTATTATTGGAATGCTAAGGCATGGATGCAAAGAAGCATTTTCAAACATTATTTAGAAAGATTTAATAATAAGATGATTTGAGAGAATAAAAAAATAATCTTACTTTTAGATAATGCAAGTTCTCACAATGCCGAAAATGTGCCTACTTTATCAAATATAAAAGTTCATTTTTTTCCTCCTAATACCACATCTATTTTACAACCTTTAGATCAAGTGATAATCTATAGTTTAAAGGTAATTAAGCAAACCTCTTAATGTTATTTTATTTTAATGTAAATTAATTTTCAAATTCTTTACAGTCAAAATATTGTCAAAACAGAATTAAGGTTTACCAAGAAGCAGATAATAATAATGATTGAGTACCTGAAATCAATATTTTTGATGCAATTAACTTTGTATCTAATGCTTGGGATCAAATAACAGTTGAAACGATTAAAAGTAGCTGGAAAAAGACTAAAATCATTAATAATCAAAGTTCAACTGATTTAATAGCTGAAGAAGATCCAAACCAACAATCAGAAATAAATGAAATAAATGATTTGATTAATATACTTCACCCTACAAATCCTCTAGAGGCTAATGAATCTATTACAATTGATCAAAATCTTGTTATTCAAGAAGAAATGATGGTAGAAGAGATTGTGAATATTGTAAAACAACAATCAGGAAATGATGACAATGAAGATGACAATGAAACAAATGAGCCTGAACAAATAGTTACTGATACAGAAGCCATAAAAGGTTTGGAAGTGGCGCTCAAATATGTATATACAACAAAAAAATTTAGAAATTGATTTTCAAGTAATTAGAAATGTCAATAAGTTAAAAAGAGAAATTTCTTATAAAAGTTTTCAAGACAGGGTACAAACAAGAATAGAAGATTATATGATAGAATAAAATATTTTTGTTTTTTATATTTTTATCATGTATATTTTATATATATATTAAATTTTACCATGTATCGGTATAATATAAATTTTTTATAACGGATATCACGTGATTTAATTATATCTTTTGCGGATATCTCGATTTAGCGGATAATTTTTCTGGAACAAACATATTCGCTAAATCGAGATTCACTGTGTACATATTTGTGGCTGAAAAAAAAAAATCATTAAAAAAAATTTTTTTTTACAAATATAAAAAAAAACCACAATGGAAAACATTTTGGATGAAAATAAACATCATGAAAATACTTCTACTGACAAAAATGTTGAATATTCTGATGAAAGAAAGGAAAAATATGGGGAATGTCCAACCTGCAATAAATATAATACTGATTATTCATGGTGTCAATCATGTGATCCAAAATTATTAACTGAAGGATGGACTAGTGGCAATGAAACATTAGATGAGTTGATTAAAAGTACACAACTTAAGGCAACCGAGTATTGTAATAATTATTACCTTCAATGGATTCCTTATAATGATTTAACAAATATTGAAAAGATAGGTTTTCAACTATATACAAAGCTACTTGGTGAAAAATGTAAATAATAACAATAGCAAAAGGATTAATGAAGATAGGATTGTGCATTACATAATTCATAGAATACTTCTGATAAATTTCTTAATGAGGTAAATTATTTTGTTAATATTAGTTTCAGATTTTTTAAATTTTATTATTATTGTTGTAATAAAATAATTTATTTGTTTTTAGTTCGAAAATTATACAAAGCATGTATAATTAAAAATTATAGATTAACTCAAGATCCAATTATATATTTGCAACCATGCAAAATGAGTATCATATCTATTGCAGGTTGGACATTCCCCATAATATTCTTTTCTTTTATATAAACCTTTATAATTTTTGAAGACTTCCATCTTCTTGTATTGGAATATCCATTATCTTCAATGGGTTCCTTATAATTATCTGACAAATAAAGCTCCGAACTGACCGGATTCGGGCGGGTTGAGCGTTAACTCGAAGCCGACCCGAGATTTCGGTTCGGTTTCGAGTTCGATTCGAATGTTTTAAAGGCAAACCTGAGACCGACTCGAAAATTTCGAAAATTTTGTGATTTACATAGATTAAGATTTAGATAAATTTTCTGAAATACAGTTATATCGGTTTAAGTCGCAATTGGTATGCATGACGCAAAATACAATTCGTGACTCAACTAATCCCATAAAAAAATTAATTTGTTATTTGAATTTTAGATAAATTTGCAACAGTTGTCTTTTCCTTTGTAATCTTTCCGTGATTTTTCCATGATGCATTTCTGGAGAATTTTAAAATCATGGATCAGTTTTTTTACAGGATAACCCATAATTTAGCATTTAGAAAATTTTGGTTTAGGCCCATGAAATCTTCTGGCGAAATTGGCGAAATGCTTATTACAAAACGAATTATTTCTAAAGAAATCATTTTATATTAATTTTTCTGTCTCTACTCAAAACTTTGAGTTATTAATAAAATATTTAATTGCCCGATTGATTAATTAATTGGTGACATTATTTTTACAATAATCCTTAATTATTTTTGTAAAATAAATAAATAAAATATTAAATGTAAGATAATGCGAATATAAAATATTAAAATACGGATATTATTAAAGCAAAAGAGACCATAAATCCGTTTTATAAAAATCTCTGCTCGTACGTTTAACGATTTAATCACAGTTTAAAATTTTCACCTATAGCTTAGGAGTTTCGCCCACAGTTTAGGCAATTTTAAGTTTCGTCACTAGGAGCCTAAATTTCTAATTTCTGTGAGACTTTACATGCTTAAAGATTGAATATTTAGAAACTATAATTCATTTATTTATTTTTTTCTATACAAATATTAAAAAATTTCTATTCTTTGAAATAGTTTTTCCCATTAAACGATATTTCTTCATGATACTTTATAATATTCGTTTTTTAATTAATAATAATAATATTAAAAATACACAATAAAAAACCCACCCAAAATTTTAAATTAATTATAATAAATCTAACATATTCCTAATTCATTACCAACTTTCTTTAAACATTCTTTTAATAAAGCAGTTATCTTTTCATCAGGAATCGAAATAGCTTCACAAATAACCGGATATAAATAAAATAAATGTGCATTTGATCCTGATAAAATTTCTTTTTTCAATAGACCTATTAAATTATTGATAATCATTACTGTTATTATTGATATATGTAAATGGTGTAAATGATAGGTATATAAAAAAATTTGTTTTACTTTTTGTAGATTTTCCATCTTCAAAGTTTAATACATTTGAACGAAATCGTAATTTAATCAATTGTTGCAAGATTAATAAGATTTCATCATTTTGTACCCTGGAAGAAAGGCTAAAATTTGTAAATAATCATGTAATATTAACCAAACCGAAGAAAACAAAAATTTTATATAGTTAGATATAAAAAGAAAATGCCCAACTATTAACCTTGGAAACGGATATTTTCCATGCAATGGTTGATCAGCTGTATAGTTTCTTATTACCGATGCACATCGTTCTAAAAGTATTGGTGCAACAACTTGTGCAATACGATGTCCTATATCACCTTCGTCTATATTTTATTTGTAATAATTATTAAATGAAATAATTATATACATATGAAAATTATTTCAATTCTTTACCTTCTTCATTTTGTTCAGAACATAAATCAAATAAACATTGTAGACAGGCATATGCGAATTTTTCTCTTACTACAGGAATAATTCTTGCAGTTGTTCAGGAGCCTTCTCTTATATGGGACCTAATTATTTCACATCTAATCATCATAGCAAATTATATTTCAACTCCACAGCTAATCCGTTTGCAAGCTTGTGAAACTTTAGCAGACATTGTTATTTCATCAATGAATTATGCAGAATCTGTACAAATGGAAAATGATGAACGAATTCAAATGCAATTACTTCTTGCGATCAATCAATTAGTTAATAACCCAGAAAGAAATTCTCAAACAAATAATAAAGGATTCTACATTGAAGTTCAAAAAATGGGATTGGAAACCTTGGATAAATTATTACAAAATTCTGGGCATTCATTTACTCATGGGTGGAGCAGAATTTTTGATATGATTAAAAGTGTGTGCACACCATTAGAAAGTGGCGAGGATGAAGGTTACACTGCCAGCTCTGACAGTATTACTATTGCAGGTACCTCAACCATTGGTATTTCTAGTTCCAAATTATCTGGTTTAGTTCGTGTGGCATTTCCTTGTTTACAGCTAATTTGCTCCGACTTTTTATCATTGCTTTCACCCGAGTGTTTGAAGCAATGCATAAATACATTGGGGGCATTTGGTTTACAAATGGATGATTTAAATATCAGTTTAACTGCTATAACATTATTATGGAATGTTTCTGATTTTATACAGACCAAAAGATCAGAAATGGTAAAGGCTCAAGGAGACCAACATGATTGTTTTTGGAAAATTGGAAATGAAGATATCGAACAGATAATAGAAAATGCCATTCATGGGGAATTAAGTAACAATACCATGAATGCTCTCTGGATGTTGTTATTGTTACAACTTGCAAAGATTTGTTCAGATGTTCGATTTGAAGTAAGAAATGGAGCAAATCAAACTTTATTTCGTACTATTGATATGAATGGATCTGTATTGGGGTCTCAGATGTGGCATGCATGTATCTGGAAAGTTTTGTTTCCTTTATTGGATTCAGTTAAAAATGCATCTGAGAAAGCTGTTAAGGTCATGAATCAGCAAAATAATGGTGCTTCGAATGATAAACCTTCTTCACAAAAAGAATTTACTGGTTTCATGATACATCATTCTCGTAATACTGCAGATAAACAATGGGATGAGACAAAGGTTCTAGTATTAAGTGGTGTATCCGGTATATTTAAAAACTTTTTACATATTCTGGTAAATTTAGATGATTTTAATCAAGCTTGGAGTTTTTTCCTTTCACATTTACAAGATTCTTGTCTACATTCTAGTCATGAAGTAGCAATTTCAGCTATTAAATCATTAAACACTATGATTCAATTTGCAAGTGATGATGTTCATAATGATGAATTGAAGGAAAAAATTTTACCAATGTGGCAAACTGCGTGGGAGGTTTGGGAAAGAATAGGTCTGGTTATTATTACAAAATCAAACGTTGACAATGACAACGATAATAAGAAGGAAATAGAAATTTCAGAAGGTGTTGTATCGTCATCAAAGTTAATCTCTTCACAATTCAATCAAGATACTCTTACGGCATTTATTTGGACTTTTACTGATCTATACAATGTGATTCAGGTTGATTTTGAGATTAGTAAAATAAAAAGATTATTAAAAGTCATCCATGGGATTTTGACTTATCCCCATAGTCCTTCTTATAAATCAGATTGTGATTATCTAACTGCTTTGCAAGAAGCAGTTTTGGAAGTAATCAATATATTAAATTTAAATGTGCCAGGTGCTCCTGCGGCAGTCTTAAGCAGTTTAGCGGATTATATAACATTAGCATTTTTGAAAATTTATAATGAAGAAAATAATAAAAGTATTAAAGAAGGAATTGGATATTTTAAACAAAAGAACCACTCACAAAGCACTGCCACTATTGTTACTGCTAGTGATTCTACTATTGCCACCAATAATAACACTACATTTTTTAAAGAAGAAGGAATGCCTTCCAAAAAATCTTATGACACAATAACTTATATTGTATTTTCAAAAACTGTGATGCATACTGTTAAGGATCTATTTAAAAAATTTACAGATGATAAAGGGATATATTCAGAAGAAGTATTTGCAAAAATTATTTGGGTATGAATTAACTATTTTACTTGGAATTTTACAATAATAATAACAACTATGTATATATTTAACAATAAAATAAAACTATATAAAAATTTAGGCGTATGGTGTTCCTATGAAATTAAAATATAAGTGTCCACCTTCAGGTAAAAATGTCGAACTTTGGAAAATTGCCACAGATTCATTTTTAGAAGTAGTAAAAAATGGATTAGTTGTGTTAAAAAACCTTGGAGATGGTAAATTAATAGTTTTTTGATTTTATGAAAAAAATTTATTATTGTAATTAATTATATAAATATTCTTTGCAGAAATCAAAAAAGAATGTTTTGTTAATATATGGAAACAATTAGTAGATGTTCTTCATGATGCATTATTAACAAATAGGTGAATATATATATATAATGTATTTATTTATTTTAAAAAAGAATTATTAAATATATATTAAATATATATATTGTATAGCAAAATATCAGATTCGCAGAACCTCGAACAACAAGATATAGATGAAGCATTTGATATGAAGTTTCTATTTAGATTACAATCTGAAGTAATAGTTCATATTGGTCATCCATATGTACCACAAGAACTAATCAAAAGTATGGTGGAAACTTTAAAAGAAGGCTCAAAACTTTATGATACTTTTATAGATGAGAGAGAAAATAATTATAATACGTTATCTTCAACAAATGATTTATCATCATCATTTCAGAGTAAAAAATTAGCAGACAAAGTTGAAGGCACAACTGCCAAAGTTATTCCTGTAATAAGAGAAAGATTTGCATATGCTTGTTTACAATGTTTATTTGATTTATGTTCTGAACAAGGTGAACAAGGTGAAGAAGGTAAAAAATTTTGCACATAAGATTTTTTTCATTTGACAAATAATAAAAAACCATGTCACATATTTTCAACACACAAATAATATATAGATGAAAGTGATGCGAGTCATCGTATTGCACAAGTTGCAGCACCAATACTTTTAGAACGATGTGCCTCTGCAATAAAAAAGTATACAGCTGATCAACCGCTACATGGAAAATATCCATTTTCAAGGTTAATTAATATTTGGAATATTTCCTTTTTATATATAAAAGTATTTTATTTGTTTACTTTTACATGATGATTTACAAGCCTTAATCTTGCTTCCAGGGTACAAAACGATGAAATCTTGTTAATCTTACAACAACTGATTAAATTACAATTTCGTACAAATGTATTAAACTTTGAAGATGGAAATTCTAAAAAAAGTAAATTTTTTTTAAAAAAAACAAGATTAATTATATATATTTAATATACTGATAACAATGAATTATTATTCTTGTTAATTTAACAGGTTTATTGAAAAAAGAAATTTTATCAGGATCGAATGCACATTTATTTTATTTATATCCAGTTATTTGCGAGGCTATTTCCATTCCTGAAAAAAACATAACTGTTTTGTTAAAGGAATGTTTAAAGAAGATTGGTAATGAATTAGAAATATATTAAATATTTCTAATTCTTCACATTAATTATTATGATAATAATACATTATAAAACTTGAAAAAAATTTTTTATTATTTATTTTATTGCCATCATTAGAATAATTTGTTAGAAAAGATAGAAATAAATTAATAAATTTTGTGATTTCCAAACTTTAATAATAATCAATAGTTATTTTTTAATAAAGATAATTTAATAATAATCAATAATTGGGAATCTTTCATAAAATAATTCTGGATCTTTAATAAAATATCCAATTCATTTTTTATTAAAGAATATTTATTTATATTGTAAAAGGCTTGGGTCCTTTCCAATTTTCCATTAGCATTTCTAAAGAATTCTCATCAGAAACAGCGACTTCGTTTTGAGAGGCTATACAGCAAAACCTGGCAAATTTTAGAATATCATTTCTAATCCAGGAAATAAAATTTCTTAAAATAGAGTATGTTCCTATCCTAAACTAAAAAAGTTAGGTGAAGAGGTCCATTTTTTACAATTCGCACCAAAAGTCTATTTTTTTTTACAATTCAAATGATAAGAAACGATGAATTAATTAAAAATTTAAATACTAGATTCACAACATTTGATTCAGAAGTCGCTGCACTAAAAAGTTTAGTCAAGACTTTAATATCAGAATTAAAGGATGCCAAAAACAATAATGGTGATAGAAAAGTTGGAATTGGGAATGGTGAGACCAAGAAAAAATAAAATTATTAATAGATTATTAATTATTTCATAATGTATAATATATATAGATATTTTTGTAAAATATGTATATTAATTTCTATATTTTCAAAATCAAAAACATAAATTCCAAACTTATTAGTCTAACACTACTAGATTTATGCCATTTTTTACCATTTAAACATTGTTCTCATTCACTTGCCCCCAATGATTCTTCTTCATCTTCCTCATCAGTACTAAATATCACATTGATCCATAGAATTTTGAGAAGGAGAAATGCTTAATGTTAGTCTTAATTCGTTTTGGTTCGTTTGATCTGAATAAGATAAACCTTATTCGAATACTAACGTGCACATGACCATCATTGCCACAACAGCCAGCACAACTAGACATTGACTATGTGCTTGTAATAACGGATTACACGACAACAGGATTATAAATAGAAATAATAGCAGTAGATATAAAGAGAAAAATAAAAAAATAAAAAAAGAGTTAGCAAATGCTAAACAAGTTTAGGAACCGACACTTTCTTCATGCCAAGGTTATTTTGCAATCATTTAATCATATTTAATCATCCCTTGGGCATTTAATCCCTCGGTCATTTAATCATCACTCAGTCACTTAAGCCAGCTCATGGATGTAACCTGTACATTCTAACCCCTCAATGATTTAATATTATTTAAGCAAAACAATTCTTGGAATAAATAAATTAAGGCTCATGAAGAAGTATTAATTAAATAATTTCGCCAACTTTAAAAAACGCGTTCAAGAGATACGAAAGTCCATGCTCTCTTGCAGGGGCGCTTAAAGCTAGGACTTCAAACAATACAAAAGGATTGCCCAAAGGAAGATAGAAAAATAAAACCAGTGCCAGCAAGAAAAATAAAAAAAATAAAAATAAAACCAGTACCAAGAAGAAAAATAAAAGAAAAACTACAGTCCCCGGCAAAAGTAATGGCGCGAATATTCGAATTACTTATTCAGGCATAATACCATAAAACATTCATTTAT